CACTTGTTCCAATAGACATTGCTGCCTGAAGGTTTCTGCTCTGGTAAGTTGTAACTCTCTGTCTGTCTCTCCAATTTTGGGGGCAGAAATTTGCCCTGTGACTTTATTTCTCTCATGGATCTAGAAGAATTGTAGATTTTTCAATTTGTTCAGCGTTCTACTTGTTGTTAGGATGGGGTGGTGACTTCTAAGCTCCTTACATGCTGGACTGGAAAAGAGAAGTCTAATTTTAAAAATTAAAATTCCTAGCACTAATCCTTCATAAACTTTTCCAAAATATTGGAGAGATCACTCCCAAACTCATTCTGAGGCCAGCGTTACCCTGATACCAAAGCCAGACAAAGACAGTACAGGAAAACTACAGACCAATATCCCTTATGAATATTGATGTAAAAAGCTTTAACAAAATACTAGCAAACCAAATCCAGCAGCAAATAAAAATGACCAAGTGGAATTGATTCCTCGAATGTAAGGATGGTTCAACATACAAAAATCAATAAAATACACAATAGTATCATCTTGCATTATTTTCCATTTAAAGGAAAAATGCATTATCATTTCAACTGGTGCATAAAAATCATTTGACAAAATTTCACACCATTTCATAATAAAGACACACAATAAATTAGGAGTAGAAGGAAACTACCTCAACATAATTAAAGCCATATGTGAAATACCCACAGTGAAGATCACACTCATTGGCAAGAGAGTTTCAAAAGTTCAAATCTTTCCTTCTAAGATCAAAAATAAGGCAAGGTTGCCTGCTTTTCCCACCTCTATTCAATATAGTACTGGAAGCCCTAGCCAGGCCAGTTAGACAAGAAAAAGAAACAAAAGGCATCAAAATCTACAAAGAAGAAGTAAAATGATCTCTGTCTGCAGATGATATGATCTTATACATAGAAAACCCTAAAGATTCCATACACAAAAAATGGTTAGAACTAATAAGTTTGGCAAAGTGGCAGGATCAAAGTCAGCACACAAAAATGAGTTGTATTTCTATAAGCTAACAATGAACAGTCCAAAAAGGAAATTAAGAAAATAATTCCATTTACAATAGCATCTAAAAGAATAAAATACTTAGAAATTAACAAGGAGGTGAAAGACTTGTGCAATGAGAACTAGGAAACACTTCAGAAAGAATTTAATGAAAACATAAATAAATGGGAACACATCCCATGTTCATGGATTGGAAAACTTCATATTATTAAGACCTCAATACTTCCCAAAGCAGTCTACAGATATTTAATGACATCCCTATCAAAAGCTCATGTTTTTTGCAGAAACGGAAAAACCTATCCTAAAATTCATATGGAATTTCAAGAGACCCTGAGTAGCCAAAACAATCCTGAAAAAGAAAAATGTTCAGAGACTCACAACTTCCTGATTTACAGTTGTTACAACGCTACAGTCATCAGAACAGTGTGGTACTGGCATAAACACAGAGATTTAGACCAATGGAATAGAATAGATAGTCCAGGAATAAATCCTCACATAAATAGTCAAATCATTTTCTGCAAGGGTTCCAAGACCATTCAGTGGGGAAAAGATAATCTTTCAAAATGGTTCTGGGAAAACTGGATATCCACATGCAAAAGAATGAAACTGAACCCTTACCGGATACCATATATGAAAATTTATGCAAAATGGATCAAAGGCCTAAATATAAAAACTTAGACTATAAAACTCTTAGAAGAAAACATAGAGTGAAATCTTCATGTTATTGGATTTGGCAATGATTTCTTGAATATGACACCAAAGGCACAGGAATAAAAGAAAAAACACAGATAACTTGGATTTAATGAGAATTAAAATTTTTGTGCATTATAAGGGATTATCAATAAAGTAAAAAAGGAACTCACAGAATGAGAGAAAAAATTTGCAAATCATATATCTGATAAGGGATTAATATCCAGAATACAGGTTTCTCCTGCTATCTGAAAGTTTGTTTTATGCTACTTAGCTTTTACAAAAGACCTATACTAGCACCCATTTTCACTGACCAAAAGAAATCTGAAGAGGATTTTTCATTTTAGAAATGGTAATTGCTTTTTTGCTTTATGCCATTTTGGCCTCCAAAAGATTTCATAGGAATACTCTCTTTTGAATAGTGGGGAAAAGCTGTAGGTAGAGAACACTTAAAACTGAATAATAAGAAAGCAAACGACCTGATTCAACAAAATATAAAGGACATGAATAGACATTTCTTCAAAGAAGATATACAAATAGCCAATAAGCACATGAAAAGATGCTCAGCATCACTAATCATTAGAGAAATGCAAACCAAAACTACAAAAAATACCACCTCTCACCCATTAAGATGACTAATATTCAAAAAACAACAACAGAAAATATGTGCTGGTGAGTATGTGGAGAAATTGGAAGCCTTGTGCACTGTTGGTGGGAATGTAAAATGATGTAGCCACTGTGGAAAACAGTATGGTGGTTCCTCAAAAAATTTTTTTGATTACCATGAATTCCATTTCTGAATATACACTCAAAATAATTGAGACCAGGGTCTTGAAGAGATTATTTGTACACCAATGTACATAGCAGCATTATTCTCAATAGCTAAAACATGGAAGCAACAGTGTCCATCGATGGATGAACAGATAAACAAAACGTGTGTATACACACACACACACACACACACACATACAGTGGAGTAACATTCAGCCTTAAAAAGGAAAAGAATTCTGACATAGGCTACAAAATGGATGACATATGCTCAGTGAAATAAGCCTGTCACAAAGAGACAAATATTGTATGATTCCACTTATATGAGATACTTAGAGTAGTCAGAATCATAGAGACAAAAAATAGAATAGTGATTTCAGGGGCTGGTGGGAGTGGGGAATGGAGAGATATTGTTTACTGTATATGGAGTTTCAGTTTTGCAAGATAAGAGTTATGGAGATGGATGATGGTGATGGTTATACAGCAATGTCAGTATATTTAGTACCACTGAATTGCACACTTAAAATATGTGAGGTAGTAATTTCATGTTTTGTGCATATACCACAATAAAAAAACTTGAAAAAAATTTAAATCCCTGTAGATTACTGATTCTCCAATTTTCAGATTGTATTTTCCTTCTGTAGCTCAGCATTCCAGCTAAACACTTTATAAGAAAAGGCAAAATTTCGGATAAGAATCAATGCGTGTCTGGTGTTGATGCTCCTGAAGGGAATACTGATGTTTGTGTTATTTAGCATAGGATTGAAACAGAAATAAGTAAACAATAAATGCCGACCACCTCGTTACGGATGTCGCATCCTGGTGAGCCCACGCACGGCGTGGCTTTCACTCCCAGCACACTGATGCCCACAGTCAGAAGCTCCCTCCCCTTTTCCCCACTTTATCCCCACTGTCGTCGTTTGTAACAGGGGACTATGTATCTTCCTGGCTGATGCTCGGAGTTCTTTCTTCAGGGATCCTGCACACCAAGGATGTCCATCATTTGTTTGTGCTGTCCTTCATCTCTCACACCTGCTTTTCAAAAGACCCTGAGGCCAACAAGACGTAAGAAATAACACCCACTTCACATCTAATTACATATCTTTAAAATCCTCTCCTTTCCATATTTATTTCTAATGTGTTTTGTGACGGCACAGTGGCATGTAGCATATGGTTTATAAGTGAGTGAACATACATCTTTTGGGGTATGAGCGCTCAATTTGTTTTTTGACTGATCGGAGTTTGGAGACCAGGATCTACACGTGAGGACTTCTTCCAGGCAGGAGCCTGACTTCCTCCACATGAGTCTTCATTCTCCAAATACCCGTGCCTTGTGCCTACACCCTCTTGGCTTGTTGAAACAATACCAGTTGGTCGAATCTGGGGAGAGATTTAGAGTTAGATATCCTGAAGAATAAGTCGGGAAGAGAGGATCTCTGTAGCACATAGAAAACTACAGAACTGCTACATGTGGTACAAAATGATCAGCACATGAAAACCAATGAGTGGAAATAGTCACCTCCAATCACTTTGTAGTTTCTACTAATTCACCTGAGGCTTTCTTCACCAAGATTCACCCGGGTCCTTTTAATTCCTTAACCTAGACTGGACCCCAGGACATGACATCCTAACTTCTCAGACAGGGAGAGAGGAAAAGGTTGGGAACCAGCCTTCACCCAAAAAAGTTTTAATAACTGAGACAAGTAATAAAAATTTGGGAACATTTATATGATTAATTAAAAAGTTTGGATTCTGTAGCTGATCCATGAATAAATGGATAATTGGAAGTATCTGACTGGAGACAAAAATAAGCATTAATGAAGGATTGACTCTACATTACAGCTCCTGGCATCAGTAGGTCTCAGTAATTTTCTCTGTGATATTACTGGTCTCCCTCCCTAAGATGGGAAGTATAATTTTAGTTACACACTAACAAATTTTGAACACAACTTACTTAGATGAAAGTTATAATCCGTTTTAGAGATGAAATTGAAGGATGCTGGAGTTATTGCTTTGGCAAAGGATTTTTTGGCTGATGTGGCATGTGAGTATTCCCTTTTCATTTATTTTATCACTTGGCACCTAATGCATAGATGACTTTTGAAAACAGTGTTTTGTATTGATAGATTTTAGGCATTGTCATAGTCCATTTGGATTGTAAACCAAATACCATGGACTAGGTGGCTTACAAACAAGAGGCATTTATTTCTCATGGTTCTGGAGGCTAGGAAAGCAAAGGTGAAGGTACCAACAGACTTGGTGTCTGGTAAGGCCAGTCTTCCTGGCTCATATGTGGCCATGTTTTCACTGTAACTTCACATGGTGGAAGACGTGAGAGATCTCTCTGGGGTCTTTTTTGTAAGGGCAGTAATCCCATTCAGGAGAGTTCTGCACACAAGCATTCAGTCTACAGCAGGAATTCATATACAACTTCCAAACTGCCTTGTCAACAGTACAGAAGAGTACGACAGAAACATTACTTCCATGTGCTTTTCAAAGTGGGTTCAAAGTCAAATGAATGACTTTTTCCTTTGTTCACACAGGTTTCCTCCTAGAGCACCAAGATCTTCTCCATTCAACACCTCAGTCATGTACAAAAAGACTGTGTTTGTAGAATTCACAGATCACCTTTTCAACATTGCCAAGCCCAGGCCACCATGGATGGGTAATATAAACAATACTGGCTGTTCACTATGAAAGTGATCTTGTTCAGTCTCACAGCTTTGAAATATTATCTATATGCCAATTACTCCCAAGTGTTTATTTTCAGTTCAGTCTGCTTGCTTGATACCTACACTTAGATGTCAAATAAGCATGCAACAAGACGTTACGATAAGATATTTCTTACCTTAGAATTATTGCTTAGAATTATATCCCTGAAATCTAAACAGTGATATCAGCCCACCTATTCAGGACTTGTTCAGGTAATGATCCATAATTGGTCCTGAAATCACTAGCCCATCATGTACCTCCAGCCTATCCAAAAGAAGGCTAGTCACTTATGAATTTAGATTTGAGGATTTCCTTGGAAAGCATTTTTGGTGTTCTGTATGTCCCCTTCCCCATGGGGGGGAGGGGGTATCGCCCTCATGTCAAGCTACAGTGAGGGACACTTCAGGAGAACCACGTAGAAGACTTGGCATAGTACCTCTGGAGCTGGGGAGACACTGACTAGTGCCTAGTTTTTATCTGTAAAAACTCTCAAAGCCAGAGTCTTGGGGGAACTTGCCCTGATGGCATAACAAGGAGAGCAGGCTATAGCTGAGGCTAGCTGCATTGCCACTGCTAGGTGTGAGGCCAGGAAGGGCCCAGGACAAGACTTGTCTCAGGAAGACCCTGCCTGAGAGGTCTTCCTGCCAGGACTAGGAGACCCCAACAGAAAAGGTCTATGTGATTGGGCTGCCAGAAGCAGAAACTGAGAAGAGAGATACAAGTGACAGCTGGAGAGGGCATATCTCAGGCCAGAAAGAGGTGGAGTGGAGTGCTCCCATTCTGAGAGGAAGAGAGTCTCGAACAACTCATACACATTCTCCGAGAAAGAGCCATAGTCTTATTGGGTGCCACAACCAGGGTGTACCAAAGCCACATTACCACTGCTCCTTCGAAGAAAGATCTTGTCATCATGCCTGTTTTTAGACCCCCTTTCCCACTAGCTCCAGTCTTAGAGGGTCCAGAGGCAGTGAGGTAGGTAGGAAAGGAGGATTACGAGAGGAAAGTAAGAAAGCAGTGAAGCCACCAACCAAACTCCTGTTTTCCATAAGAGGTTTCTGAACCTCAGAATTTAGCTGGAGGAGGGAAGGGCCCTTGAATTGCAGGGGACATCAAAAGTTTGTTATTAAAATGGACTGGACTTATTAGTACCTAAAAATAAAGCTATTTCATGTTTTCATCCCATTGAATCCACTTCATTCAATAAACCATTTGTAGGCATCTTATACTTACAATGTCTAAAAGCCAAAAGTCTTGATTCTCCTCTTAATTTTCTGTGTCATGGCCTGACTACCACCTACTTGCACAAATCCAAATCACAGGAGTCATCAGCAAGTCTTGCTGACTCTTCTTCCAACACAAGTCCCTACTCTGCTTACTTCTTTTAAGTTTCAATTAATCCAAACTCTTGTCACCTATGAAGTCCTATGTTACGTTCCCTGCTATAGCCTTATCTTCTGTTACTCCCCTGCTCAGTCACTTTGCTTCAACCACACGTTACTCAGCTATACCAAGCTTGTTCCTGTCTCCGGACTTTTGCATTTGTTTCACCTCCTTTGAGTGTTTTAGCACTAGATCTTTGCAAAATCTTGCTTCTCTTTCATTAGTCAGATATCTGCTCAAATGCCATCTCCTCAAAGAGGCTCTTCCTGCTACTGTATTTAAAAAGTATCCTCTACCTCCTGCCTCATCACTTTCCAGCATATAAATAACAACCTGAAATGTTCATGTTTATGTCTTCATGTGCTTAATGTCCCTACAGTGCAGCCTCCATAATCTGTCTTGTTCACATCTACACCTCCAGTACCTAGAATAGTTCCTAGAATATACTTGGAACTCAATTCTTAGTTGAATGAATGAATGCCTTGAATGAATGGCCAGAAATTTGTCCTCAGATCAACCACAAGGCTGAGCTGGTGATAGCAGTTTATGCATTTAATCATTTAACTACTATCTTTTATTGATAATTACAGGGGCATGTTTCTCCACTGTGACTCTGACCATCACTTTCATACTAACAGGTTTTGTGGAGTGCCACACTCCAAATGACCTTTGGGGGTCCATTTCATTCTTGCAGGTCTGCTGGGTCCTACCATCCAGGCTGAGGTTCATGACACAGTGGTCATTACACTTAAGAACATGGCTTCTCATCCTGTCAGTATTCATGCTGTTGGTGTATCTTACTGGAAAGCTTCTGAAGGTAAGTCAAATGCCCTCCTACTGTCCTGTTATCCTAGGGATAAAAGAGTACTGAGTACAAGGTCACCTTGTACAAGGTCAGCAAGTGAATGGTGGAGTCAGGATTCAAACCTAGGCCCATTTCATGAAGTCAAAAACATTGTCATTTTAGTCTAAGCCCTGAAGATTAATTCCACCCCCTGCTCTCCTTTGGGGAACTAGGTCATGGATCCTAAAAAGCTCTCTTGATCTGCCTTCCTAGGCCCAGAAGACATCCTAGGGAGGGTCAAGGCTCATGGTATGGAGGTGAAACATAAGTTTTCTCCTTCCTTTGACTCTGACTTTTCAGGTATTTCCTCTCCCTCACCTCTCCCCAGTTTCTAAATGTGATGAGAGCCAAGTACCAGAAGTACCAGCTGACCTCGTTAAATCAAACAACTTGCTTATCCACAGTCCCCACTACAGCTAGCTTCTCCTTAGCCTTCACAATGCAGGGAAGGTGTGAAGGGTGTGCTACAATGGACTGTGATATTGTCCACATAGACTGTGGCATACATAGATCAAGAAGATTCAAGCAAATCATTTATATATTATTAGAACACATGCGCTGTGTTACATAGCCTAGGTGTGCTTACGTGTTGACTGATTTCTCATCATGAAATCAGAAAGCCTTAATTTTCTGGGTTGCACTCATGAAGCCAGGGCAGACTTAGGTTGGGAGAAGTGGCAGGAGAGGGCAGGTAATAGAGGGGAAAAGTCATTCCATGTTCTGGCTAGAGCCTGGCAGGCCATTTCCATGAGGCTTATCCACTTGAGAGCTTCCAGAACTAATCTATGACATTTAAGAGAGGGCAGGACTCCCAGAATTCTGCAGCTATGGGCTGAGCATAGAGATGACTCTTTTCTAAGCCTGGTGAGGTCTGAAAAAAGTTAGACTTTCTAATCTCTCACATGTGCATCCACAGTGGTTCTGCCCAGGAACAGCATAGTGAGGCAATGGCCTAATGCCCATGTGATTTATGGGCCCATCACATGCCTGCGTATTTATGTGTTGTGATCTACAAGCTCCTGGCCTTCTTACAGGAGCCTGGGGCCCCAGGGTGTCAGTTAAATTTGTGAGGATGTTGAGTATTACTTCATATGTTCGTTGGCCTTTCTGATACCCTTTTGTAAAGTTTCTGATCAAGTGTTTGTTTCTCCTGTTGAAAAAAATGAGTTACCTTTTTTTAATTGATCTGTAGAGGTACTTTATATATTCTGAATACAAATCCTTTGACAGACATATAATTCTTTGCATGTCTTCTTCCAATATGTGGCTTAAGAGTATTAACTTCTTAAAGTTAGTAAAGCATGAAAGTTCAACTGTTAATGAAGCCCGAAAATTTACCACTTTTTTTTTCCTTTTGTGGTTAGACCTGTTAGACCTTTGTGTCCTATATAAGACACTTGCCTACCCCAAAGTCATAAAGACTTTCTTCTATGCTTTCCTCTAGAAATTGTATTATTTTACCTTTCATCTTTAGGTCTGTGATCCATCTCAAATTGATTTTTGTGTATGGTTTCCCCATAGCTTTTTTAAATTGAAGGATAGTTGATATGCAATCTTATATTGGTTTCAAGTATACAACACAGGGGTTCAATAGTTACCCATATCATTAAATCCTCACCCCCATTAGTGTGGTTACTATCTGTCAACATAAGAAGATGCTTCAGAATCATTGACTATATTCTCCATGCTGTGTGACTATCCTTGCAACCAACTTATACTGTGATTGAGACTTTTTGTGCCTCTTTATCCCCCTCACACTCCCTGCCCACCCACCCCAGCACCTCCCCCATGGTAATCATCAGACACTTCTCAGTGTCTGTGAGTCTACTAATGTTTTATTCATTCTGTTTTGTTTTTAGATTCCACAATTAAGTGAAATCATATGGTATTTTCTTTCTCTGCCTAGTTTATTTCATGAGCATAATACCCTCTAAGTCTATCCATATTGCTGCAAATGGCAGGATTTCTTTCTTTTTTATGACGAATAATATTCCATTGTGTTTATGTACCACCTCTTCTTTAGCCATTCATCTATTAATGGACACTTTGGCTGCTTCCATAACTTTGCTATTGTAAATAATGAGGCAGTAAACATAGGGGTGCATATACCTTTTTGAATCAGGGATTTTGTTTTCTTTGGGTAAATTCCTAGAAGTGGGATTACTGGGTTGTATACTATTTCTATTTTTAGTTTTTTGAGGAATCTCTATGCTGCTTTCCACACTGGATAGACTAATTTACATTCCCACCAGCACTGTAGGAGGCTCCCTTCTCCCCACACCCTCAACCAACACTTGTTATTTCTTGTCTTTTGGATAGTGGCCATTCTGACTGATGTGAGGTGATATCTCATTGTAGTTTTGATTTCCATTTCCCTGATAATTAGTGATGTAGAACATCTTTTCATGTGCCTGTTGGCCATCTGTACTTCTTCCTCCAATAGCATTTTTAAACAGCTTTATTGAGGTATAACTTACATACCACACAATTCATTCAGTTAAACTAGTTTGATGGCAAGGGCAACAAAGGCAAAAATAAACAGGTGGGACTACATCAAATTAAAAAGCTTCTGCACAGCAAAGGACACCATCAACAAAATGAAAAAGCTACCTACTGAATGGGAGAATATATTTTCAAGTGATATATCCAATAAGGAGTTAATACCCAAAATATATACAAAACTCACACAACTCAATATCAAAAAAACATCCAATTTAAAAATGGGCAGAGGACTTGAGTACGCATTTCACCAAAGAAGATATCTAGATGACCAGCAGGCACATGAAAAGATGCTCCATGTCACTAATCATAAAGGAAATGCAAAATCAAAACCACAATGAGCTATTATGTCACACCAGTTAGAATGGCCACTATCTAACAGACAAGAAATAACAAGGATGGGCAAGGATGTGGAGAAAAGGGAGCCCTCCTACACTGTTGGGAGGAATGTAAATTGGCCCACCCAGTGTGGAAAGAGGTAAGAAGGTTACCCAAAAAATTAAAAATAGAACTATCATACATGATCCAGCAATTCCACTTCTTGGTATCTACCTGAAGAAAATGAAAACACTAATTTGAAAAGATATATGCACCCCTGTGTTCATTGCAGCATAATTTACAATAGCCAAGACATGGAAACCACCTAAGTGTCCACTGATAGGTGAATGAATAAAGAAAATGTGGTACATATACACAATGTGATATTACTGAGTCACTAAAAAGAATGAAATTTTGCCATTTGCAACAACGTGGATGGACCTAGAGGGTATTATGCTAAGTGCAATAAGTCAGACAGAGGAAGACAAATGCCATATGATTTCACTTATATATGGAATCTAAAGAACAAAATAAATGAACAAACAAAACAAAACAGAAACAGACTCATAGACACAGAGAACAGATTGGTGATTACTAGAGGATGGGGTAGGGAGATGGGCTAAAATGGGTGAATTGGATTAAAAGATACTAACTTCTAGTATAAAATAAAAAAGTCATGTGGATGTAATATACAACTGAGGGAATAAAGTCAATAATATTGTAACAACTTTACTCGTGGCAGCTGGCCACTACAGTTATCACAGTGATCACTCCATGATGCATGCAAATGTTGAATCACTGTGTTGCAGACCTAAAACTAATAAAATAATGTATGTCAACTATACTTAAAAAATAGTTTGACAACTCTTAATGAACTTAGGCAGATATGCAGTAGTCAACACAATTCAGCTTTAAAACACTTCTGTCACTTCAAGAAGTTCTCTCTTTGCAATTCAAGCCCCATTCCCACTCCCATCTCAGGCAATCATTGATCTGCTTTGATTAAATGCAAGCCTGACATTTCTATCTCCCAAGCCAACTGTGGTAAATTATATTACTGTTCAGTAAATAGTCATCTGTACCCCAGGAATGGGAGGAATACATTTCCATACCATATTAATGTTGAGCTTGGCCTTGTGATTAGCTTTGCCTGGTAGAGTCTGAAAGCATATGATATGAGAAAAGATAGCTAGTTCACATGAAGTGTCTGTCAAAGTAGCCAGAAAAGGAGTGAAAAGCAGGCCCAAGAAATTTCAAGTTTTGTCTTGAGCTGAAAATGGAAGCCCAATTTAATGCTAGAGAAATGTTTTTTATTTTTTTTCTGGACAAGTGGGGTTCCGAGAACATGAATCTAGCTGTAAGTAGGTCTGTGAACTGAGGCTTTGGGTAGAATGAGATGTGGTTGTCCATGAACTGCAGAACTTTGAAAGAGATCTGAGAGACAGCAAGGGGGACTACAACCCAAAGCTGAAGTAGGTGATGCCTGGGAAAGAGCATTGTGTACAGCCCTTAAAGTTTATATATCTGTTATTGTATATTATCTTTGGAAGGTATCCACCTCCATCAGAGTCTTAATCTGAGCCTGAACATCAGCCAACTGAAAATATTCTAAGCAGAATGTGTTTTGTGTAATTTTCATCTTTTATTACATAAGAAACAACATAGGAGAGTCATTTGACAGTTCAAGGAGTCTGTCTGCTTCCTGCTTATGGTGCTTCATATGCACAATATTCTAAGGGAGTGTACTGAGTCAACAAAAATCCAATAGTCCCTAGTGCCTACTGGAGAGGTGCCCCTATCTCCAGAGAGGCTGACTTTATAGTCGGGGCTACCTACTCATTTGGAAGTGAGAACCACTCATCCACTCATATTTGCATTAGTGGTCCAGAGCTCCTCTGGAATTTATGAAGCTTCTCCCCAAATTAAATTGCAGAATGCTTTTTCCTTATGTACAACTTACCAGTGACAATAAATTTGCTGTGTTTCCTTGAGTGGACAATGGACATAAAAAGGACAGTTTTCTTCCTTCTTGCCTTAGGTGCTACATATGATGATCAGACGAGCCAAATGGAGAAGGAAGATGATGAAGTCATTCCTGGTGAAAGTCATACATATGTCTGGCAGGTCATGAAAGAGAATGGTCCAATGGCCTCTGACCCACCATGTCTAACCTACTCATATCTTTCTCATGTGGATCTGGTGAAAGACCTGAATTCAGGCCTCATTGGAGCTCTTCTGGTTTGTAGAGAAGGTATTTTGGAGGGACAGCTATAGATGGAAGTGTTCCTAAGCCTAAATAGCTGTCACCAGAGAAGATAAAACCACAGTAAAGAAAGTAGAACACTTAATAACTAAACAAATGCAAATTAAATCGACCACCCCCAAAGTCAGTCAAAGGATACACAAAGAGTACAGAATATGAGACTTAATATATAAAGAATGGAGGAGGAAGAAAAAGGAGGAGAAAAAAAAAGAACCTTTAGATTGTGTTTCTAACAGAATAGTAAGTAAGTTAAGTTAGACTCTTAGATAGTAAGGAAGTTACCCTTGAACCTTTGGTAACCACAGATCTAAAGGCTGCAATGGAAATAAGTACATGCCTATTGATAATCACCCTAAATGTAAATGGTCTGAATGAACCAATCAAAAGACACACAGTCAATGAATGGATAAAAAAACAAGATTCGTCTATATGCTGCCTACAAGAGACTCACGTTAAACCCAAAGAAACACACAAACTAAAAGTGAAGGGATGGAAAAAGATATTTCATGCAACTAATAGGGAAAAAAAAGCAGTTGTTGCAGTGCTTGCACCAGACAAAATACACTTGAAAACAAAGAAAGTCACAAGAGACAAAGAAGGACGTTACATAATAATAAAGGGGTCAGTCCAACAATAGCATGTAACCATTATAAATATCTATGCACCCAACACAGGAGCACCTACATATATGAAACAAATACTAACAGAATTGAACGGGGAAATAGAATGCAATGCATTCATTTTAGGAGACATCAACACTCCACTCACTCCCAAGGAGAGATCAACCAGGCAGAAAATAAGTAAGGAGACAGAGGCACTGAACAACACATTAGAACAGATGGACCTAACAGACATCTGTAGAACATTCCACCCAAAAGTAGCAGGATACACATTCTTCTCAAGTGCACATGGAACATTTTCCAGAATAGATCACATACTAGGCCACAAAAAAAGAATCAGTAAATTAAAAAAGACTGAAATTATACCAACCAGCTTCTCAGACCACAAAGGTATGAAACTAAAAATAAATTATGCAAGGAAAATGAAAAAGCCCACAAATGCATGGAGTCTTAACAATATGCACCTAAATAATCAATGGATCTATGACAAAATGAAAACAGAGACCAAGCAATACATGGAGACAAATTACAACAATAAGTCAACACTGCAAAATCTGTGGGACCAGCGAAGGCTGTGTTAAGAGGGAAGTATATTGCAATATAGGCCTATCTCAGGAAAGAAGATCAATCCCATATGAACTGTCTAAACTCACAATTAATAAAAAGAGAAAAAAAAGCACAAATGAGGCTCAAAGTCAGTACAAGGAGGGACAGAATAAAGATTAGAGTAGAAATAAATAAAACTGAGAAGAATAAAACAATAGAAAGAACCAATGAAAGCAGGAAGGAGCTGGTTCTTCAAGAAAATAAACAAAATAAATAAATCCTCAGTCAGACTTATCAAGAAAAAAAGAGTCTACACACACAAACAGAATCAAAAATGAGAAAGTAAAAATCACTACAGACACCACAGAAATACAAAGAATTATTAGAGAATACTATGAAAAATTGTATGCTAACAAACTGGATAACCTAGAAGAAATGGACAACTTTCTAGAAAAATACAACCTTCCAAGGCTGACCCAGGAGGAAACAGAAAGTCTGAATAGACCAATTACCAGCAAAGAAATTGAATAGGTAATCGGAAAACTACCTAAGAAAAAAGTCCCTGGACCAGATGGTTTCACTGCTGAACTTTATCAAACATTTAGTGAAGACCTAATACCCATTCTCCTTAAAGTTTTCCAAAGAGTAGAAGAGGAGGGAATACTCCCAAACTCATTCTATGAGGCCAGCATCACTCTAATACCAAAACCAGGCAAAGACACCACACACACAAAAAAGAAAATTACAGACCAATATCCCTAATGAACATAAATGCAAAAAATACTCAACAAAATATTAGCAAACTGAATTTAAAAATACATCAAAAAGATCATCCACTTTGATCAAGTAGGATTTATTCCAGGGATGCAAGGATGGGACAACATTCGAAAATCCATCAACATCATCCACCACATCAAGAAGAAGAGGAACAAAAACCACATGATCATCTCCATAGATGCTGAAAAAGCATTTGACAAAATTCAACATCCATTCATGATAAAAACTCTCAACAAAATGGGTATAGAGGGCAAGTACCTCAACATAATAAAGGCCACATATGAAAAACCCATAGCCAACATCATACTTAACAGTGAGAAGCTGAAAGCTTTTCACCTAAGATTGGGAACAAGACAGGGATGCCCACTCTCCCCATTGTTATTCAACATAGTACTGGAGGTCCTAGCCATGGCAATTGGACAACACAAAGAAATACAAGGCATACAGATTGGTAAGGAAGAAGTCAAGCTGTCACTATTTGCAGGTGACATGATATTGTACATAAAAAACCCTAAAGACTCCACTGAAAAACTACTGGAACTAATATCTGAATTCAGCAAAGTTTCAGGATAAAAAATTAATACACAGAAATCTGTTGCATTCCTATACATTAATGATGATCTAGCAGAAAGAGAAGTCAGGAAAACAATTCCATTCACAACTGCATCAAAAAGAATAAAATACCTAGAAATAAACTTAACCAAGGAAGTGAAAGACCTATACTCTGAAAACTACAAGACACTCATGAGAGAAATTAAAGAAGATACCAATAAATGGGAACACATCCTGTGCTCATGAATAGGAAGAATTAATATCGTCAAAATGACCATTCTGCCTAAAGCAATGTACAGATTCAATGCAATCCCTATCAAAATACCAACAGCATTTTTCAATGAATTACAGCAAATACTTCTGAAATTCATACAGAACCACAAAAGACCCCAAAGAGCCAAAGGAATCCTGAGAAGGAAGAATAAATCTGGGGGGATCTCACTTCCCAACTTCAAGCTCTACTACAAAGTCACACTAATCAAGACAATTTGTTACTGGCACAAGAACAGACCCATAGACCAATGGAACAGACTAGAGAACCCAGATATAAACCCAACCATATGTGGTCAATTAATATACAACAAAGCAGCCATGGACATACAATGGGGAAATGACAGCCTGTTCAACATCTGGTGTTGGCAAAACTGGACAGCTACATATAAGACAATGAAACTGGATTATTGTCTAACCCCATACACAAAAGTAAACTCAAAATGGACCAAAGACCTGAATGTAAGTCATGAAACCATAAAACTCTTAGAAGAGAACAAAATCTCCTGAATATAAACATGAGCAACTTCTTCCTGAACACATCTCCTTGAGCAAGGGAAACAAAAGCAAAAATGAACAAGTGGGACTATATCAAACTAAAAAGCTTCTGTACAGCAAAGGTCACCATCAGCAGAACACAAAGACATCCTACAGTATGGGAGAATATATTCATAAAGGACAGATACAATAAGGGGTTGATATCCAAATTATAAAAAGAGCTTGCACACCTCAACAAACAAAAAGCAAATAAGCCAATTAAAAAATGGGCAGAGGATCTGAACACCTCACCAAAGAAGAAATTCAGATGGCCAACAGACACATGAAAAGATGCTCCACGTCACTAATCATCAGGGAAATGCAAATTAAAACCACGATGAGATATCACCTCACACCAGTTAGGATGGCCAGCATCGAAAAGACTGAGAACAACAAATGCTGGTGAGGCTGCAGAGAAAGGGGAACCCTCCTACACTGCTGGTGGGAATGTAAATTAGTTCAACTATTGTGGAAAGCAGTATGGAGGTTCCTCAAAAAACTAAAAATAGAAATACCATTTGAACCACGAATTCCACTCCTAGGAATTTACCCTAAGAATACAGGATCCCAAATTCAAGAAGAGACATGCACCCCTATGTTTATCGCAGCACTATTCACAATAGCCAAGAAATGGAAGCAAGCTAAGTGTCCATCAGTAGATGAATGGATAAAGAAGAGGTGGTACATATACACAATGGAATACTATTCAGCCATAAGAAAGAAACAAATCCTACCATTTGCAACAACATGGATGGAGCTGGAGGACATTATGCTCAGTGAAATAAGCCAGGCGGAGAAAGACAAGTGCCAAATGATTCCTTCATTTGGAGAGTGTGATGACAAAGCAAAAGTAAAGGAAGAAAAGAGCAGCAGACTCAGAGACTCCAAGAAGGGACTAGGGGTTACCAAAGGGAAGGGGTGTGGGAGGGCAGTGGGGAGGGAGGGAGAAGGGGATTGAGGGGTAATATGTTTAGTACACATGGTGTGGTGGATCACGGGGAAAACTGTGTAGCACAGAGAAGGCAAATTGTGAATCAGTGCGTCTTGTGGCACTGATGGACAGTGACTGCATTAGACTATCGGGGGGACTTGATAATAAGGGTGAATGTAGTAACCACATTGTTTTTCATGTGAAAGCTTCATAAGAGTGTTTATCAATAATACCTTAATAAAAAGAAGTCTTGTAGCCCACATAGTTTTAGGGACACTGGTATAGGAGACCTGGCATGAAAAAGAAACAATGTTATGGTCAAGTCAGCCACAGGGCAAGAGACAAAGGAGTCCAGTTGTGTTTACTCTCAAGTGGTTGATGAAGTAATGTGCCCTCCTAGTGTCAGTATGTTATGATAGGATTTTTAATAGAAGACAAATGCTGTCACTTCTTTTTCAGGGAGTCTGTCCAAAGAAGGGACACGGACCCTCCATGAATTTGTACTCCTTTTTGCTGTTTTTGATGAAGGTTAGTGAGGTGAAATGTGAATTTGGGGCTTCTGAAAGAAATGAAATAATATTAATTTAATCTGGTAGTTGAGAGTGAGGGCTGCTATTGTCCGGAGGAAGTGGTTATAGAAGGATCATAAACTACATCACTGCTTCTCCTCCTTCCAGTCTGTGTTAGATGTCTTTATATTTCCACAGTACCTCGAGCTTCCTCCTTACCTGCTCATTTAATATTTATCTTCTTTGAACTTATATCCCTTTCCCTTCTCCTCTCTGCTCCCATAATGCCCTATTCTCACCTCTGTTACATCACTGTCTCTCTTTATTATAATTGTCAGTTCCTTTGTCTATTCAAGGTAAATTGTAAGCAACTTGAAGGCAGACATGGTATTGTCTTTTCTGTCATTAGTAGTGTTGAGGAAATATGTTTGGATGGGTGAAAATGAGTGGCTGATCAGATAAATGAACCTATGAGCATTCCCCAAGGGTTGGGTGCTGCCAGTTGTTCACCCAGAGGGGCAACGCCAAAAAGCTGATGTGTAATAAACTTTACAGGGCTTTTGCTCTCATTAATTTCACGGAGGAGGTTGGGAAGCTTTCATTACTACAGGACAGGGACAGGGCCCGACAGTCCCTTTCTAGGGGGATTTTCATCTGATTCCTTTTAAATCAGTCAGCCAAAAAGTAGAATGAGATGCTCATGGTGCACATTAACCAATATTCTCCATTCTCCTAGTTACCACCTACTGTCATGGACAAATATAGGGAGATTAAATCAGTTTGAGCAAGAAATGTCTTCCGAGGGAGGGAAAAAAGGGAGGGTCAGTCATGAGACAGATACTGAGCTGGCCCTGTATTTGCTTCCTCTCTCTCATCAGGGAAAAGTTGGCACTCAGAAACAAATGGCTCCCTCACACAGGCTATGGATCCTGCGTCTGCTTGGGCCAGCTCTGAAATGCATACAGTCAACGGCTACATAAATAGGTCTCTGCCAGGTATGTATAGGCCTACTCAAGAATCCTCAAGGTGTTCTGCACTCACCACCAGCTCTCTTCTCTAGTTCTCCTCAAAGGCAGCTGTGCACCCTAGAGGGAAGACCGCTGAATTCTGGCCTCTGGGAGTCTTAAAGTTATCTAAGGAAAACCTGAAACATGAAAGGGATCTGCCAAGATAAACAAATAATAAGTTCAGAAGAAAAAGAGATAATGCTTAGAACAGAAAAGAACTTGCCAAATGGTCCAATTTGTATTTTTGTAAGGATTCAAGAAGATACTGCACTGATGAAGTGATAATAGGATTCTATGTAAAAGAAACAATCAAACCAAGAATATGCTCACAAAAACTAGGAATATGATTGTCAAAATACAAACTGAAGAAGGAGATAGGGAGAACAGAGAAAATCTCCCAGAAAGTAAAATGAAAAGAGATTGAGATTTTTAAAATCAAAGAAATGATAGAAGAAAGTGTCTGTTAAGAATGAAGACATTTGAGTGTTCATATTAAAATTTCCCAGCAGGATAAATAAAAAAGGTCTGCACACATAATTATGACTGTCAAATTTCAGAGAGGATATTTAAACTTCCCCTGGGAGAAAGAGGGCATATACAAAGGCATGAGAATTAAACGGGCAATGTAATTGAGGAATACCTTAAAAGTTCTAAAAGTTAAAGTTATTTTAAACCTAGAATTCATAACCAAACTATGAATCACCTTTGGGAGAAGAATAAAGGTATTTTCAGAAATGGTAGCCCTTAGAAGGCACTGAATAAGTGCTACAGTCAGTAAAATTAGAGAGTAAACCAAGAAAAAGTTGGGAAATTCAGAAACCCAAGAGGATAATGAAGGATGAGAAAAGTTATTTTCTTCTTAACTCTTTTCTGTATTTCCCAATAATTGTATGATTGATATATATGATTTTAGGAGAAAGGAAATTACCCTTCAAAACATGGAAGTCCGTGTTCTCACATGGCTTATAGCATAAGGAGATGGGTACTGATCAAATAATCATAATAATAACTACAAAATTACAAAGCAAGAATTAGTATGATGGAAAATTATATAATTTATATGAGCATATAATGAAGGAACCTGATCTAGACTGGGGAATCTGAGAAGGCTTTCCTGAGGAAGTGCTACTTGAACTGAACTTTGAAACAAGATTAGGAATAGGGAAATGAGGTTGTAGCTCTCCGGGGAAGCAGGTTCCTGGCCTTTTATCGCTCGACCCTCTGAGTCCCCCGCAGTCACCGCGCACACTGCCCGCCACCCCCCCACAACCCCCCGCGCCCGCGGGTCCCCTGCGACTGACAGGCGCCAGACGGTCTGTTACACAGTGGCGGGGAAGCGAGAGCAGCCTCTCCCCACCCCTCGCCACGGAACCTGCAAGAACCTGCAGCGGTATCTGTAACTGGGCTAAGGCCAGGTGAGAGATTCTGGAAACAGTGTAATTTAGCCCACAGAGGTGGTACGGAATGAAACTGGAGAGATACTAGTACCCTGGATTAAGATAGTGAGTGTAGTAATAATGGTGAATAATAAATATATTTGAAAGCTTCAGGAGCCAAAATAGGAGACAGGTATGCCCTAGCAGTTAACAGTGAGATCTAATCATATGGCTGCTCAGGTTCAAAGTCCAGTACATTAGTTAATCTTACTGGGCATCAGTTTCCTCTCCTGATAACAATAGTTTCTACATTCATAGGGTTATTGTGAGAAGTGAATGAGTTGAAACATGTATAATACTCTGGACAGTGCTTGACATAAAACAAGTGCTCAGTAAATACTGGTGTTAGTGCTTATATTGCCATACTGGGTGTAGACTGGATGTGAGAAGTGACAGTACTGACAAGTATAACTCTGGCTTGCATCACTGAACGCAGGATGGTGCCATGCACTGAATAAGGAACTCTGGAAGAAGATGAAGTGATGAAGATTGCAAACTTGGCTTTGGACATGTGGGTTTTATGAGATATCCAGGGGAAGATAGTGAGAGGGTGATCAACCATATAAGTCTCGAATTCTGGGAGAGGTCTGAAACAGGAGAGTATTCAGCATGGATGATCATTATCACCATGAGAATGGACAAAAGTTTTCAGGGGGAAAATAATTATTAACAAGGCAGCTGAGCCCTGAAGTGCGCTATCATTTTGTGCATGGGTAGACAAGGAGGAGTCAGGAAAGGAGACAGAAGAAGGAACAGCCTAAGCAATAGAGGAGTAAAACCCAGAGAGATATTGGCACAGAGGCCAAGGGAGGGGAGAATTTCAAGAAGGAATGAATGGTCAACAGGTGCAGATGACTCAAAAATATCCATTGGGTTTAGCAGCATGATAGTCATTGGTGGCCTTTGCAAGAGCTCTTGCTGGTTTGACAGTACCCAGCATCCTTGCAAAGTCTGCTTCCAAGTCAAGATAATAAAATGCATGAGGTCAGTTTGCCCATCCTACCCTAGAAAGTGTTTTCCACTCCAAATTCTTGACTTCTTGACTATAGCTCTTATTCCTACTTTACAGGTCTGATTGGATGTCACAAGAAGTCAGTCTATTGGCATGTGATTGGAATGGGCACCACTCCTGAAGTGCACTCAATTTTCCTCGAAGGTCACACATTTCTTGTGAGGAACCATCGCCAGGCCTCCTTGGAGATATCACCAATAACTTTCCTTACTGCTCAGACACTCCTGATGGACATTGGCCAGTTTCTACTGTTTTGTCACATCTCTTCCCATCAACATGGTAATATCTTTTTTTTAATTTTTAATTTTGATATCATTAATGTACAATTACTTGAACATTATGGTTACTAGACTCCCCCCATCATCAAGTCCCTCCCACATATCCCATTACAGTCACTGTCCATCAGTGTATTAAGATGCTACAGAATCACTACTTGTCTTCTCTATATGTATGCCTTCCCCATGTGCCCGCCCCCCACTACATTATGTGTGCTAATCATAATGCCCCATTTTCCCCCTTCTCCCTCCCTTCCCACTCATCCTCCCCAGTCCCTTTCCCTTTGGTAACTGTGAGTCCATTCTTGGGTTCTGTGAATCTGCTGCTGTTTTGTTCCTTCCGTTTTTGCTTTGTTCTTCTACTCCACAATATCTGTAGATCTTTAAAATGAGTATTATAAATATCCAGCTCTTTTTTTTAATAGAATTCACCATCCACTGTCCATTTTAGGATTATGTTATTTAAATCTTAACTGAGATTCCCTAGTTGCCAGTTTACAGAGTGAAGATTTTACCTTGAGTATTACTAGTACTGGTGAATTTTTAGTTAAATACCTGTGATAGAGGGTGGGGAGTTGGGTTAGTGATGAATGAGCCTGATTCCATTAAGTAGGATTGCAGGTTATATCTGAAGAGATGTTTTATGAAAAATTTGGGGGATAGAATTAAAGATGGTGGCATGAGAGGAGAGACAGAGGCTTCCTCCTAAAACTGAATACAATTAGAAAATGTAGTTGGTACAACTAATCCTGAGAGAGCAACAGGAAAGAGGCCGGCACCAGACTGCATACACCTGGAGAAAAGCACAGACCTCACCAAATGGGGTAACATACCAAAGCTGTGGCTCTGCGGGACCCGAGCCCTACCCCCAGCCCAGCTCACTGGTGGGAGGAAGAGAAACGGAGCAGGGAGGGAGTGGAAGACTTGGGACTGCTGAATACCTAGCTCTGGACATCTGCGCTGGGAGCACACACCTACATTTCATGGTGATTTCATCATACTCTTCTGATTACAGGGTTGGAAAGCTGGGACAGGTGGAGTTTCTGGGGAGACTGGGATTCCGGCCGCTTGTGGAAAGTAGAGATCCATATCTGGCTGCTCTGGGACAAAAACTTATACATGTGTGCTTGGTCCACTGGCTCAGGCAGTGGGGACAGGCACAGAAGCCAGGAAGCAGGGAACAGCTGTTTCCTCCCCCCAGGCACCAATACCGCTCCCCTGCAACCCCTGACATTGCTTCAGGGGCTGAGCAGATCCAGAATAGAGCTTCTGGACACTAGAGGGTGCCATATACAAACATGAAATGCCAAAGGAACCTTGTCCAGAGTAAAATTATTAATACAACTCCTGAGAAAGATTTAAATGATATGGACCTCGTGACTCTTCCTGAAAGGGACTTCAAAATAAAAATCATAAACAAGCTAATGGAGCTATGGAAAGACATCCAAGACCTCAGGACTGAATTCAGGTCAGAGATCCAATTATTGAAGAGCAAGTTGGAGGGTATTAAAAGCAAGTTGGATACAGTGGAGGAGACAATAAATGGAATAGAAACTAGAAAAGAGGAATACAAAGAACCTGAGGCACAGAGAGAAAAAAGGATCTCCAAGAATGAAAGAATATTGAGAGAACTGTGTGACCAATCCAAACGGAAAATATTTGCATTATAGGGATACCAGAAGAAGAAGAGAGATAAATGGATAGAAAGTGTCTTTGAGGAGGTAGTTGCTGAAAACTTCCCCAATCTGGGGAAGGAGATAGTCTCTAAGGCCATGGAGATCCACAGATCTCCCAACACAAGGGACCCAAGGAAGACAACACCAAGACACATAGTAATTAAAATGGGAAAGATCAAGGGTAAGGATAGACTGTCATTAAAAGCAGCCAGAGACAGAAATAAGATCACACAGAATGGAAAGCCCATCAGGCTAACATCAGATTTCTCAGCAGAAACCTTACATGCCAGAAGGGAGTGGCATGATGTATTTAATGCCATAAAGCAGAAGGGGCTGGAACCAAGATTACTTTATCTGGCAAGATTATCATTTAAATTTGAAGGAGGGATTAAACAATTTCCAGATAAGCAAAAGCTGAGAGAATTTACCTCCCACAAACCATCTCTACAGTCTATTTTGGAGGGACTGCTATAGATGGAAGTGTTCCTAGGGTTGGATAGCTGTCACCAGAGGTAATAAAACCACAGTAAAGAAAGTAGAACAGCTAATTACTAAGCAAATGCAAAATTAAATTAACTATCCCCAAAGTCAATCAAGGGATAGACATAAAGTACAGACTATGATACCTAATATATAAAGAATGGAGGAGGAAGAAAAAGGAGAAGAAACAGAAAAGAACCTTTAGATTGTGTTTGTAACAGCATATTAAGTGAATAAAGTTAGACTCTTAGATAGTAAGGAAATTAACCTTGAATCTTTGGTAACCATGAATCTAAAGCCTGCAATGGCAAAAAATATATAAGCCCTAAATCTAAATGGACTGAATGCACCAATCAAAAGACATAGAGTCACTGTATGGACAAAAAAACAAGACCCATCTATATGCTGCTTACAGGAAACTTATCTCAAACCCAAAGACATGCACAAACTAAAAGTTAAGGGATGGAAAAAGATATTTCATGCAAACAACAGGGAGAAAAAAGCAGGTGTTGCAGTACTAGAATCAGACAAAATAGACTTGAAAACAAAGGAAGTCACAAGAGATAAAGAAGGACATTACATAATGATAAAGGGCTCAGTCCAACAAGAGGATATAACCATTCTAAATATATATGCACCCAACACAGGAGCACCAGCATATGTGAAACAAATACTAACAGAATTAAAGGAGGAAAGAGAATGCAATGCATTCATTTTAGGAGACTTCAACACACCATTCACTCCAAAGGACGGATGCACCAGACAGAAAATAAGTAAGGACACAGAGGCAATGAACAACACACTAGAACAGATGGACCTAACAGACATCTACAGAACTCTACATCCAAAAGCAATAGGATACATATTCTTCTCAAGTGCACATGGAACATTCTCCAAAATAGACCACATACTAGGCCACAAAAAGAGCCTCAGTAAATTCCAAAAGATTGAAATTCTACTAACCAACTTTTCAGACCACAAAGGTATAAAACTAGAACTAAATTGTACAAAGAAAGCAAAAAGGCCCACAAACACATGGAGGCTTAACAACATGCTCCTACTAAATAAACAATGGATCAATGACCAAATTAAAATAGAGATCAAGGAATATATGGAAACAAATGACAACAACAACACAAAGCCCCAACTTCTGT